AGAGAGAGAGAGAGAGAGAGAGAGAGAGAGAGAGAGAGAGAGAGAGAGAGAGAGAGAGACAGAGAGAGAGAGAAAGAGAGAGAGAGAGAGAGAGAGAGAGAGGACGAAAATTCTGATCCCGCAGATCGCAGTTTTTCCGCGTCGAACAGAAAATACATAACTATGAAAAACGTCGCAAATACCGCGACAATACATCATAAAATGTCAACATAATCCCGTAGATTCACATAAAATCCAGCCGCCGAGCTATAATTGCCATGTAATCTCGCGTATTTGTCGACGCACTATCATAATTTACTTCCTCTATAATGTAATGAAATTCCTGGTCGTGGCGCGTGCATTAAGATATGATGATATGTTTGCGTTCTCGTGTCCCCGTGCGTCGTGTCGGTCTTTACTGTCCAACTCTCGCGGTGACACTCGCGGTGACACTCGCGGTGACACTCGCTCGCGGTGACACTCGCGGTGACACTCGCTCACGGTGACACTCGCTCGCGGTGACACTCGCTACGACCTCCAGAATGTGACTGACGCGCTCTGCCACGCACGCACACACGCACGCACGCGCGCACGCACGCACGCACGCACGCGCGCACACATACACACACACATCTCGGTCACTCACACACACGCACGCAAGCACACGCGCACGCACGCAAACGCACGCACACACACACACACACTCACACACACACANTTTGCCATGTGTATTAAAAGGATAGCATACTCGCACCAATATTCACAAATTTCACTTTTTTCTCCATAATAACATTGGGAAATATGTATAGAGTGTGTTACATCTCACAAATTCTTTTTTTAAACTAACTCTGGACAAGCTTGCTGGAAACATACATTGTATATTGTATTATTGTATATCAAATATCGTATGTCAAATGCTAATATCATTTACTATTATACATGATCCTGTATCATGTAACTATCACATATATTATTCATGCTATATTATACATATGTATATATTTCGTTATATCTGATATCCGTGTTTGTGAATGTGTATCTATGCCAAGCAAGTCATCACCTATGCTACACTTCCTATCTCCTTATTGACCCATTACTTGTGTCCCTGCCCCTCCTTCTTCATGCTTGACAGACGAAGGTGACAACGACGAGTCTGTGTGAGACAGAGTTCATGTTCCTTAACGGCACCGACGCCACTCAGTGCGACACGCACTGCGCACGCTACAGCGCCCACCTATCTGATCGTCTAGTCGGGCGCTCTCTACACCGTTCCTAACAGACACCAGTCTGTGTTGTGGCGTTACCGTCGGCACGCGCACAGGTCATGTCAAGAAGGTGAGATGTGTGCACAGGGCCGAAATTCACTGCGAAGTCCGGGCCTCGTTGGCCAAGTCAGAATACTCTCAGTGGAGGTTACTGTCGGAAGCTTTCTGATTTGAGTAGTGGCAGAGATCCGTGTGAGCGCCCTGAAAAAATCTGGCATTTATACTTATAACTAGTTCGTTCCCTGAGCACAAGCTCTCGCGGAATTACCCGCTATTCTCTCCAGCAAATTCCAACAAGTAAATTTAGCCAGCCACGTGCAAAACACGCATGAATCTTCAAATCAGCGAATCATTAATCTAGCGCTCATATGCACAATCGCATATATTGTCAAAATTCTTCTAGTTTTAACTGCACGAAACTGCCTCCTGATGACTCCCTATTTTGCACTGCGGACTCCACTCATTTTGCTGGCACGGACTCCTCATTTTGCTCGGACTCCCACATTATTGCTGAGGCCCCTCATTTTGCTGAGGCTCCTCTTTGAGGCAGGGTCCGTTAGACTCCCTTGTTCAAAGTTCATTTCTACTCCTGCGGTGTGGTGACGTGAGCTGTGATCTCTCTCTCCTCTCTCTCGTCTCTCTCTCTCTCTCTAACTCTCTCCTCTCTCTCTCTCTCTCGCTCTCCCAACGGGGGTCACCGCGTGCATGATCGTATTGACACTTTCCCTAATCTAGATGCGAAATATATCCCGCGACCTCCACTCGATCACCCACAGTCACCCTACCTACCCGTAACCCCCATCGCAGCAGCAAGCGAGCCGAGCAGCATACCACACGCCGCAGTGGCGGCCAGGTAGCAGCAGCAGCAGCAGCAGCCAGCCATACCCGTAGCAGCACAGCAGGCAACAGCGAAGCGCAGCAAACAGCGAACCGTAGCCAGCAGCAGCAGCAGCAAGCAGTAATATAGCCCACAGTGAACCAGCCTCTCTCTCTCTCTCTCTCTACGTCTCTCTCTCTCTCTTCAGCACACTCTTGCGCTTTTCTCTCTTCGCGGCACTCTCTCTCTCTCTCTCTCTCGCTTCTCTCTCTCCTCTCCTCTCTCTCTCTCTCCACAACACTCTGCTCTCTCACTCTCTCTCGGCTCTCTCTCTCTCTCTCTCTCTTTCTCTCTCCACCACACTCTGCTCTCATCACTCTCTCGCTCCTCTCTCTCTCTCTCTCTCATCCTCTCTCTACTCTCATCTCTCACTCTTTCGCCTCTCACTCTCCTCACTCCTCTCTTGTATTCTCTCTCTCTCTGCTCTCCTCCTCTCTGCTCTCTCTCTCTCATCTATCTCTCTTCTCTCTCTCTCTCCTCACGACCACTCCTTGCTGCTGTCCCTCCTCTCCGCGCACGCGCCTCTCCTCTCTCTCTGCTCGTGCCGTCGCTGCTCGTTCGCTCTGCTGCTGCCGTCCGGCGGCGAGAGAGAGCGACGCTTGCCCTCTGCTCTCCTCCATCTCTCCCCCTACCCGCTCCCCCGGCCGTCGGCCCTCTCTCCCTGCCGTCTCCACGGTCTCCCTGCTCTCTTCCTCCTCTTCAGTCCGCTCTCTCTGGCTCTCTCCTCTTACGTCTCTCTTCACTCGTATCCGGCCTCCACTCTCCCCTCTCCAGCTGCTCTCTGCCTCGTGCGTCGCGCCTCGGTCTCTCTACGGTCTTCGGCTCTTCTTCGTCTTTTGATCTCGTCCTCTCTCTTGTCCCTTCTCCTCTCGCTCTCGCCTGCTCTCATTCGTATATCGACATCTCTCTCTCCTCTCTTTCTCTCTCTCATCTTTATCTCTCTCTAGCGCACGCACGCACGCACGCACACACGCACGCACGCACGCACGCACATGCACGCACGCCAGCCACTCACCTTGACGCAGTCCTGCATCGTTCCCGTCCAGTAGATGGAGCTGCCGTAGCCGTCGCGACACTTCCGCTCGTTTGTCGCGAACGTCCGCTCGACGTCCAGCAGCCGATACAAGCAGAGGGCGCTGTCTCCCGATGGCTCCCACGAGGGGGCGCCACCGCCGTCGTCGCTGCGGGCGCGCGCGAACACGCCCACCAGCACTTCGTCCTGCGGGGTCAACCCGAGGTCGGCCGCGAGATCGCGTCCGATCCTCCCAGAGGTCGCCGCTTGCAACACGTCGTAGTCGCCGCCGGCGTCGTCGCCAGGGGGCGCCGCGCAGACGAGCCGCGCCTCGGAGAATGAGCGGTACTCGACGTCAGCCTCGCAGACGCGCGCGACCTTTGACACGTACGGTGCGCCGGGGTCAAGGGTCGCGCGCTGAACCGTCGTCAGGTAGGAGAACCCGCCCGCGCTGAATCCGGAGCGGTAGAGGATGGGGTAGGTGAGCCGGTGGCTTCCCGTGCCCGAGCGAAACCCGACGAACGTCCCCAGAGAGCTGACCGCGTCCTTCGCGACGAATCGGAAGAGGTCGGAGGTCGCGGGATCGCCGTCGTCCTCGAGCGTTCGCGAGGCGACGGCTTTCACGCTGTCCCAGTACGCGGACGTCGTCGGCGCGGCGGCGGCGCCACCGTCGTGCGTCGCTACGGTGGCGCCCACTACGAGCACGGAGCGTCCGCGCGGCCCCGGCGCGAGGAAAGCCACCGTGGGGGCGCTGGCGTTGTTCGCGGCGACCGGAGTCGTCGGCGCCGCGCGCGCAACGCTCGAGATCGCCGCCAGGGGGCGAACGTCGCAGACGCCGTGCGCGACGCTGCCGCAGACGACGAGGCGCCCCCTGGCGGCGTCGACGACGAGCACCTTGTTGTGGTTGTCGGTGGGGACGCCGGTGGCGCAGGGCCGGCCGAGGCTGCAGCCGACATCGTCGTCGCGCGGACCCGTCGTCGCCGCCTCGTGACGCGTCAGGTTCGCGTCGAGCCGGTAGAGGGCGTTGACGGCACCCACATAGAGGGCGCCAGTGTCGGGGTCGCGCGCGAGGTGTTCGAACGGGCGGCGCGCGTCGCCGACGAACGACGCGGCGATGACGTCATCGGCGGCGTTGCTACGGCAACGCGTCGGCGCAGCGGCGGCGAGCAGTAGTACGAGAACTGCAAGGTAGGTGGCGCCGGGAGCGGGTCGACGTGTCGTCATGGTGCATCTCTCACATGAGCGTCTGAAAGACGGAGACAGACGACAATGAGAGGAGTGTCGCATAATTACAACCGAGTAATTATAAGTAATGAAATCAACTAATTAAAATGATTTGTATTAATTAATGGCTCGTTATCCGTAAGCTGAGATGCGAGGAATTTGGATGGCGGATTGTGTTTTGCATCTGTGGCAGGCTTGTAGTATGTATGGTACATGTCTGATAATGTGTGTGTGTGCATGCGCGCACATTCGTGCGTGCGTGTGTACGTGCTTGCGTGCGTGCGTGTTACGTGCTGCGTGCGTGCTGACGTGCCGTGCGCGTGTGTGCGTGCGCGCGCGTGTGTGTGCGTGCGCGCGCGCGTGTATGTGAGTGAGTGTTTACGTGTGTACAGTCACTACAGTGTCAATGTCTGCAGGACTTGATCCTGTAACTACATTACACTGAGCTGATCTATGTCTATATATGGAGTATGATATTATGATATCTCTGGGGAAAGAGCAGCTATAGCAGCATCCCTACATCTAGGCTTTATGTGGAGGCAAGGTTTCCTCTACAAATCAGCGTGCGATGGCTAATGGAAACATTAGAGAATGAATTCACATCTCTCATTCGTGCACTCGCACAACGATTGATATATAACCATATTTCTGTCTATGTAACCGATATGCTTGAATATAACGAAATATAATTGAGTAAATATAACAATTCGGGAAGATAGGAATACGGCACAAATAGCAGATTTTAAATCTGCTGCTGCTGCTGGCTCGCTGCTGCTGCTGCTGCTGGCTGCGCTGCTAGCTGGCGCTAGCGTGCTTCGCTGCTGCTGCTGCAGCTGCCGCTGCTGTGGCCAGCTGCTGCTTGCTGCCTCGCCTATTGCTACTGCTTACTGCTACTGCGCTTGCTGCTGCTGCTGCTGACTGCCTGCTCGTTGTGGCTGCTGCTGCTACTGCTCTCTAGCTACTGCTACGCTACTCGGCTACCCTGATGCTGCTGCTGGCTGCTTGCTGCTGGCTGCTTCGTGAGCGCTGCTTCTGCTACTGCTACTGCTACTGCTACTGCTACTGCTACTGCTACTGATGCTGCTGCTGCTGCTACTGCTCCTGCTGCTGCTACTGCTACTGCTGCTTCTGCTGCTGCTGCTGCTGCTCCTCCTCCTCCCATTTCTGTCTGCGCGCGCGTGTGTGTGTGCGTGCGAGTGTATGCGTGTGGATTTTTTGCGCAATATATTTCGCGCAATACTGGCAGGAAACCTGTTTCCTGTTTAGTTAGTCGAAGCCCCCGGATGTAAGGAAACCGGAAGTGGCTACGTCAGCTTCACGTGACAGCATCCGGCCGCGGGCCTAGCCTTCCCTTACTGCCACGAGAGCCTGACTGCACGACCACGAAAGCGTGCATCAAGCTACAGATGTGTCTACGTAATTATTATTGTTGTTGTTGTTGTTATTGTTGTCGTCGTCACAGTCGAAATCGTCGACCTCGTCGTCGTCGTTGTTGTTGTTGAGGTTGCTGCTGTTGTTGTTGTTGTTGTTGTTGTTGTTGTTTTTGCTGTCGTCGTTGCTGTTGTTGTTGTTGTTGTTGGTGATGGTGGTGGTGTCGTCATAGTCGAAATCGTCGTCGTCGTCGTTGTTGTTGTTGTTTTTCTTGCTGCTGTTGTTGTTGTTGTTATTATTATTGTTATTGTTGTTGTTGTTATTGTTGTTTTCGTCGTAGTCGATGTATCTCCCAACATCCACACCAACCGATGATATGCACTCACGAAACGTTAGATTCCCGCCAATACTAAGCTATATTACACTACATATATATATATATATACTATTATATTAGAGGTAGGATTAGGGTTACGGTTAGAATAAAATCTATCACTGCCAGTAGAGACGATTTTTTTTATAATACCATCAGAGTTAAATAATATGGACATCGAGTCAATACGTGGAGTTACAACGTGGAAGTACAATTTACCGTAACGTTATCTAATATACCTGCGGGTGTTGGGATACAATATGCAGCACACATAATTCAGAACACTACGCGAAGAACCGAGACTTACCCATTCATCAAAGGCAAGTCGCGACGTAACATTCAGTTATATTCCTATGTTAATACTATCGTGTATACGCTGGCTATGCAGACTGGGTAGTGCGTCCTGTATACACGCACACACAACCTCACAGACGCGTGCCCACGTAACGTATGCAACACGCAACCTATGTAGACAGCACGTGCCACCTTCTGCTGCGTCTAGCAGCCGATCCTGTCTGTGATGGGTGAGTGAGTGAGTGAGTGAGAGTCGGTATTATGACATATACACCTATGTATGTATGTGGGCTTTATAGCGGACATGCGCGTTCCTGCGGTTTTCTACGCGCGCGCGTGCTTCTGACTCCCCACCCCTAGGTACCCCCTCTGCTCTCCTGCTCCAACCCCTACCCCCCTACTGCTCTTCTTCCCTCTCACACCCCCTAAACCCCCTCTGTTTCTCTCCCTCTCGCGCCAGCCCTACCTTCACACGACCCCCCTCCGGCCGTCCCCACCCCTACCCCAACCTCTCTTCTCTGCGCGCAGCGCATCGTCTCTCTCTCTCCGCAGGCGATCTCTCATCAATCTCTCAATCTCTCTCTCCTTCTGACTCTCTCTCTCTCGTTTCTTCCTTCGCTATCATCTCGCGCGTTTCTCCTCTCCGTCTCTCTCTCCTCCTCTCTGCTCTCTCTTTCTCTCTATCCTCTCTGCTCCTCTCCTCAGCTCTCGTCGCACACATGCTCCGCCTGTACTTCCCCATCCCCCTTCCGTATACGCCTCCCCCTCTCTCTAGATTCTCGCCCACTCTCTCCCTGTCTTTCCCAATCAGCTCTGTTTCCAGTCAGCAGGGCCGGCACAGCTCTGCTGTCAGCCTGGCAGGCAGGCAGGCAGGCTGCGGCTGCTGTAAGACAAGCGGCAGTGTTTACCTAATCTCAGTTTAACGACCACTGGCATTTAACCTTCGAGTTTAAAACGACTGCAGCGGCAAATATTAACGAGGGACGGGGTTACGAAGCTCAGAGCCTGTGGGAAGTAGAGGTAGAAGAGATGAGAGAGGAGGGGAGAGGTAGGTATAGGGATAGGGCTAGGAGGGAGAAGGTTAGAAGAGGTAGAGGGAGGAGGAAGAGTAGAAGGAGGAGAGGAGAAAAGGAAGGAGATAGAAGAGGAGAGGGAGGAGGAAGAGGAGGGTGACAGGGAGGTAAGGAGAAAGGGAGGAACATGTAAAGGAGGCAGGTGAGAGAAGGCGTGACGGAGGAAGGAGGGTATAGGAGGAGGTAGGCGGGGAGGAAAGACAGGAGGAAAAGGAAGGGGAAGCGGAGGAGGAAAAGGAGCGCAAATTTTATCTGCTCACACCGATTCAGAAACCTATGTGGCGTCCATTAAGTCCGCCTCCTCCACAATCGCTCTCTCCTCCTCCTCCTCCTCCTGCCTCCTCCTCTCTCCTCCTCACTCCTCTACCCTCTCTCTCTGCTCTATCTCCCCGTTCCCTCTGCAATTAGAGCAATATAAACGCACCATAGTATATAGTATTATATATAGGCAATATAGATCGCAGCAATAATTATGCATGTATAGCAAGCGCCACCGTAATCGCTTAAGTCTCCAGCGCGCCGCCGACCGTCACACAATCAACCGCCACGCGCCGCCAAACGCCTGCCACGCGCCGCCACGCGCTGCCAACCCGTCACCGCCGCCACCGCCGGCCACGTTCACCGCCCGCCCCGCCCGCACCGCCGCCACGCCGCACGCGCACGCACGCCCGCCAGCCCCGCCACGCCAGCCCGCCGCCAACCGCACCGAGCCGCCACCGTCACCGCCTGCCACCGCCGCCCACCGTCACCGCCGCCACCGCCGCCACCAGAGCCCGCACCGCCAGCCCAGCCGCCGCCAGCCGCCACGCGCACTCCGCTTCGTCAGCCGGCGAGCCCCGCCGCCACCGTCAACGCGCCCGCCGCCGCCGTCACCGTCGTCCGTCGTCACGCGTCGTCAACCGGGTCATCGTGTCGGCGTTCCGTCTCGTCGACAAAATCCGATAAGTATATTTTATTTCGCATTTAATTAAGTTCGCGCGAAACAAAGCCGGCCGCGTCCAGCCGCGATTAGCAGCTAATTGGTGGAGAGGAAGGCGAGGGAGAGGAGGGGGGGGAGGAGGAGGAGGCGGGGGACAGGAAGAGGGGGAGGGGAGGAGGAAAGGCGAGGAGGGGAGGGAGGGATGGCGGGGGAGGGGAGGAGTAAGAGGGAGCGAGGGAGGCGGAGAGGGGGGAGGGATAAGAAAGGGAAGGAGTGAGGAGAGGAAGGGAGAGGAGAGGGAGGAGAAGAGGAATAGGGAAAGAGGGAGGAGGGAGGAGGGAAGGAGGAGAGGGAAGAGGAAGCAGGGAAGAGGGAGGAAGGGAGGGGGAGGAGGTAGGGGAGGCGGGGGAGGGGGAGGAAGGGAGAAGGAAGGAGGGGGAGGAAGGAGGAGGTGGGAGGGAGGAAGGAGGGGGGGAGGGGGAGGAAGGGAGAGAAGAGGAGGCAGGGGAAGAGAGGGGGAAGGCGGGGACGGGGGGGAGGAGGGGGAGAAGGAGAGGGAGGGATGAGTGGGGTGAGGGCGAGGGAGAAGGGAGGAGTGAAGAGGAAGGAAGGGAGAGGAGGGGATTGGTGAGGGAAGGAAGCGAGAGTCTGGCGATCTGAGTACAGAGAGAGAGCGCGAACGAGAAAGAGAGAGAGAAGAAAAGAGTAGAGAGAGTGAGAGAGAGAGAGAGAGCGAGAGAGCGAGCCTAGCGCCTCACGGCGTATAAAGGGTCAATAACAGAAAGCGTGATGCGATATGGCTTCCTCACGATTTTGCACTTGAAATGACTTCAATGACAGGCGCACCCGTCCATTGAATATTTGCGCGGTGTGCGTGAGTGTGGCAGGACTGTGTGGCTGTGTGTGGCTGTGTGCAGACAGGGCTGGACTATTGTCCGCAACGCTGAAGCTGAATACGCGAACACCGACAACAATTGCAGGCAGACGAGAGAGAGATAAGAGAGAGACAGAGAGAGACGAGAGAGACAGAAAGAGAGAGAGAGAGAGAGAGAGAGAGAAAGAGAGAGAGAAGAGAGAGAGGGAAGAGAGAGAGAGAGAGAGAGAGAGAGAGAGAGAAGAGAGAGAGAGAAGAGGAGGGAGAGAGGAGAGAGAGAAGAGAGAGAGAGAGAGAGAACAGAGAGAGAGGGAGACGAGGGAGAGAGAGAGAGAGAGAGAAGAGAGAGAGAGAGAGGGAGAGAGACGAGAGGGAGAGAGAGAGAGAGAGAGAGAGAGAGAGAGAGAGAGAGGGGAGAAGAGAGAGAGAAGCAGAGAGAAGAGAGAGAGACGAGAAAGAGAAGAGAGAGAGAGAGAAGTAGAGAGAGAGAGAGAGAGAGAGAGAGAGAAAGAGAGAGAGAGAATGAGAGAAAGAGCAGGCATGGCCTGGGCGAGGATGCTGTGGGAGAGGATAGCGCCGATCAAAGTAAGTTTCGGCCTCGCATTGCCACTTCAGAGAAAACTTGAAGAAGAATGAAGTTTATTATTTTGAGCGGCTGCTATACTAGACCTAGTAGTGCGCTCTTCCTCCCCCTTTTGCGCTCCCCAATCAAAAACACCACTAAATCTCTGCTCTCGTCTCTCTCTCTCTCTCTCTCACCACCTGCTCTCGTCTCTGCTCTCTTCTCTCTCTCTCTCTCTCGTCCTCTGCGCTCTGCGTCTCTCTCTCCTCTGTCTCTCGTCTCGGCAGGTCATTCATCTCACTCCATCCTGGCTCTCTCTTATCATCTCTCTCTCTCTCATCCCCTCTCTCATCGCTCTCATCTCTCTCTCTCTCTCGCATCATCCTCTCTCTCTCCTACGCCTCCGCTCTACTCTGGCTCACTCTTCCCTCTCTACGCATCTCACTCTCTCCTCGTACGCTCTCGCGTCTCGCTCTCGCTCTCTTCGTCTCTCTCTACATCTCTCCATCATTCTCTACTCTCTTCTCGTCTCTCTCTCTACTTCTCTTCTTCTTCTCTCATCTCTCTCTCATCTCTCTGACTCGAAGGCTGCTCTACCTCTCTCACTTCTCTCTCTCCCCCTCTTCTCTCTCTTCTCTCTCTCTCTTCTCTCTCTCTCTCATCACTCTCTCTCTCCACCTCTCTCTCTCTTCTCGCTCATCATCATCTCTCGTCATCTCTCATTGCTCGCTCTCTCTTCATCCTCTCTGCTCTCTCTCTGGCCGCCGGCTTTCGCTCTCTATTATCTCTAATATTTCTCTCTGTCCGCGCGGCACAGCAAAAGAGCCTTTAAAGTCACCTTTCATGCTAAACCTCGTGATGCGACATCATGCTGTCAGGAAAAGTCAAAGACCAACTTGCAGACAAAAAATGAACCTGCAGCGATACTAAAACACTGGCGCGGCACGCAGATCGAGCAGCCGATCAGTACGGGTGTGTGGGGCGAACTGAGCACTNGCACCACACACACGCACACATGTAGCACTGACCTCCTATGTGTTCAATGACGCGTGCCAGCCACACCTTGCTGGGGTTCAGCGCGTGCATTATCTCCAGCGGCATGCCCTGCTTGATCTGATCGATGGGAGTCGTGCCGCCGCTCTGACACAAACAAACAAACAAACAAACAAATAAACATCGATGTAAAAACCACGCAGGGCTGTAGTTATTTCTTGCGCTGGGTCAAAATTCGATCGTTGAATCGGACAACAAAAACTCGTGATGCATGGAAGCGTGCATTGTGCCAATCTTTGAAAGATCAATGCACTTACATGTTACAAGTTAATAACTATTCATTATCATTTACAATGATTCATTACCATTTGTTATCATTATATAAATATAAATATATATATATATTATTATTATATATTATTATTTATTATAATTAACCAGTCATCATATTAGCTACAGTGCCGTGATAGTCAACAACCTGTCACAGACGGCTACCACCCACAATCAACAAAGAAGACAGAAGATATAGAGAAACTTTGTAGCCCGCTCGCAACCCTCACCCTGTTGATGACTTCCAATCCTTGCCAGTGACCCAGACCATGACCCTAAGCCCTCGCCCGTGACCCCCCCCCACCCCCGTTCGCTCACCCCGTTGAGTAGGTAGGCGGGTACGGTGCTGGCGCCGGACAGGCTGTGCACGAGGTACTGGCTCCAGTCGCTGTACTTGGTGCGTATGGCGTCAGGAGGTTGCAGCACCTTGCAGTTCTGCCCGCACCAGCCGATGCGGTGTACCTCCGACGTTGTCATGTCGCACCAGAAGTCGGCCGAGCGGTCGTCGTCGTAGCCGTCGTACCTGCGCGAGCGCGAGAAACAAGCGAACGCCGCTTAGAATGGCAGACGCGAAACAAGAGAACGCCGCTTGGGGTGGCAGACGCGAGATGTGCGATTTCGAAATCTGTGAGCGCGCAAAACAAGCGAACATGGCTTAGAACGACCGACGGAGACGCGCGTACCTGAGCCTGAGTAAAGGTCCACAGGTCATGATGAGCAGGTAACAGGTAATACACAGGTAAGGATAAGGTGAGGGCGCACGTACCTGAGCCTGAGTAGAGGTCCACAGGTCATGATGAGCAGGTAACAGGTAATACAC